AAAAAAAAATAGCCAGGCGTTGTGGCAGGTGCCTGTAGGGGTACCTACAGGACTTGGGAGGCTGAGGCAAGAGAATTGCTTAAGAACCAAGAGTTTGAGATTGCTGTGAGTGTGACGCCATAGCACTCTACTGAGGGGGACATACTTAGACTCTGTTTCAAAAAAAAAAAACAACTATCCTCCAAAACAGCATTCCCATCAGCGGTATAAGAGAGTATCTGGTTCCCCAAACCCTCACCAACACTGGACATTGTATTTTTAAATTTCTGCAAATCTGATTAGGTGAAAATTGGTACATCATTGAGGCTTTTAGTTTGCATTTCCCTAGTAAGTGGGATGGCCCAGTCTTAAAACTTTCCAACCAGAACTCATGTTAAGATCAGGGACTGAATCTTAACCATCTCTGTACAGCCCATGTATAGTTCTGGACATAAATTAGCTGTACAGGCCAGACACAATAGCTCACACCTGTAATTCCAGCACTTTAGGAGGCCAAGCAGGAAGATGACTTGAGCCCAGGAGTCTGAGGCTGCAGTGAACTATGATCAAGCCACTGTACTTGACCCTGTCTCTTTAAAAACAAACAAAAAAAAACTTTAGCTGTTTAAACAACAGCCTAGGTGTGCCTTAGAAGTTACTGCAAGGGATAATATTTTATGTAGCTCTATATTCCTAGCATTAACAGCACCAAGTAAACAACAGGCACTCAATAAATGTTAACATGAATAATGTCCAGGAGGTGTGGCTGGTGAAAGCAGCAGCTAGTCTGAATGTCACCAGCAGGGAGGTAACCAAAAATTGCTGTAGGCATCCTGTGAGTTCATGGAGACAATGTAAGATGTCCATCTATTTCTTTGTCTCCAGCAAACCTTTAGCCTCACCCATATATCCATCTCGTCTGTCAGTCTAAGAGGACCTCTGCCTCCAATTTTCTGACAGCAAAGGCAGTTGGCCAAACCCGCAGACTTTGAGCTTGAAAAGCAACCAAGAGGTCTCTCTGTAACCTTCCCAGGGCTCTGCAAAGCCACACATCAGCCCTCAGATCTTGGTGAGCCCCAAGATCCTTTACTTCCTCTCAAAGCTCCCTGAGACACGTTCTCTCCCTGTCTAGGAACAGCCTGTGCCAGACACAGACTCCAGGCAACAAGCCTGACTGAGCAGCAACTTTTAATTTCACAGCTTGCAGTGCCCACAGCCCAGCTCTGACAGACGCCTCCAATAAACACATCTCAGTGACACTGGGTGAGGCTAGAAATTGCCTCTTCCCTGGCCCAGCATTCACAAGCCCCATTGTCCATCTGCACACCCCAAGGCTCTGGGTTGGTTTTGTGTACGGGTTTATATACCAGTTTGATTTGATATAATTCAGATACCATACAATCCACCTATTCCAACTATCAGTGACTTTTAGTATATTCACAGAGTTGTGTGACTTTCATCACAATTTTAGAGGACTTTTTTTATTACCCCCAAAGAAACCTACATCCATTAGCATTCACTGTCTGGGCCCATTTTGCCCAGACAGTGCCCAAAAGGCCTGCAGGGCCTTTTTTTCTTTTTTGAAACAGAGTTTCACTTTGTTGCCCTCGGTAGAGAGCCTCCATATCACAGCTCACAGCAACCTCAAAGTCTTGGGCTTAAGCAATTCTTTTGCCTCAGCCTCCTGAGTAGCTGGGACTACAGGCGCCCGCCACAATGCTCAGCTATTTTTTGTTTTTAGCAGGCCAGGGCTGTGCTTGAACCCACCAGCCCTGGTGCAGGGCCTTTTTTTTTTTTTTTTAATGAGCAGACAGACAGAAGACAACAAGAGCAAGTACATCTGTGACCAGAACACAGAGCATGACCTGGCATCTGGGGACTGTGACGGGGAGATCGTCACTTCTTTAGACATATTTATTAGTTTATGGAAAGAAAGTGTGTGCTCCACCTACTATTCAACTCAGGCTTTATGCTCTGGCTTATCTAGACAGCTAGAGAAAGGCTCCTACACTGAAGATCCCTTCCTACTCTGCCTACCACCCTCTACCTATCTGTGTCCAAGAATAGGCCCCTATAAAAGTCAGTTAGGCTGGCTATAGCCCCCTCCTACACAGGAGTCATTCTAGAAGATGGCACCTGTTTGGGCCCCTAGCCTCATGGCAGAGTGTACTTGCCCATCCAAACCCCTGCCCAGGAGGACATGGGAGGCAACCTGGAGGAATGGCTCCATTAACAACTTGAAATTCCTTGAACCATATTTGCCATGAAGGTGTCTTTGCCATAGGAAAAAACAAACAAACAAAAAAAACCATGAATGTCCCCAAAAGGCAGAGTCCCTAGTTAAGTGTCTTGGGAGATGACCATAAATGTGTGAATGGCAGATGCGGTGGAGTAGAACAGGCCTTCGTGCAAACTCAGAGACAATCACTCCTGCTTTCCCATCAGAGCAAGGACTTCAGGGAACCCAAAAAAGCTCCTGCTGGACTGTTAGGCAAGTGAGGCTTCTCCCCACACCTGCAGGGACTCCTGGAAGTCCTGCTCCCTTCCCTTTGGTAACCTCCAATGCACAGCTTGTCACCTTAGGAAAAAAGAGCTGTCCAGAGTAACTCTTACTAAAGTAAAATGACTTCCAGAGGCATCACATGAAGGGTGACATGTCAAGACTGACAGGAAGCCCGTAGGTGCAGGAAGAGAATCAGCCACAAGGAAGCCTGGCCTGCTGCCTTGGCTCCATTCCCTGTCATAGTCTACCCTGGCTGCCCTCCAACCACACCCAAAGCACAAAACTAATCGCTCTAAAATTAAGGAAAACTATGAATGTTATTTGGTAAGTTTTCTACTTCAGTGTTTCCCAAAACATGAGGAGCACACCACGTTTTAGATGATACCAGAGTGTGACACTAGGTAGTGCTGAACCACATGTAAGAAGTCCTCTCTTTAGTTCTTTTTTTTTTTTTTGGAGACAGTCTCAAGCTCTCCCCCCGGGTAGAGTGCCATGGCATCACAGCTCACAATAACCTCCAACTCATGGGCTCAAGCAATCCTCTTGCCTCAGTTGTTCTACTTTGCTCAGGCTGGTCTCGAACTTGTGAGCTCAAGCAATCCACACACCTTGGCCTCCCAGAGTGCTAGGATTACAGGCGTGAGCCACTGCTGCACCTGGTACTCTCTCTAGTTCTTTCCATACTCCTGATTAAGTCAAGGAAAGACTCTCAGACACTATAACATCTTTAACGCTTTTCTTTCTTTCTTTTTTTTTATAGACAGAGCCTCAAGCTGTTGCCCTGGGTAGAGTGCCATAGCATCACAGTTCACAGCAACCTCCAACTCCTGGGCTCAAGCGACTCTCCTGCCTCACCTCCCAAGCAGCTGGGACCATAGGCATCTGCCACAATGTCCAGCTATTTTTTGGTTGCAGCCGTCATTGTTGTCTGGCAGGTCCAGGCTGGATTCGAACACACCAGCTCAGGTGTATGTGGCTGGTGCCTTAGCCTCTTGAGCCATAGGCGCCAAGTCTTTAACGCTTTTCAAGATCTGTTCATCTCCCTTTTACCAGACACACAGAGAGATGGTGGCCTCGGGCTAGGAGGCTTGGGACAGGAACAACTGACTACAGTAACTTCTACTGTAAAAATGAAAGGATATTTTTACAGGACTCTCTTCCTACAACTGATGTATAGTGGTAAAACAGTCTCTTTTTAAAATAAATTAACATTTATTTACATAAAAAATGAAGGATTGATTTAAAATGAGGAAATTATCATCCAGGTGGTGTGTGGATACAGCAAAAATGGTGTGAGTGAGTACAGTTTGAGAAACACTGATCTTTTCTAAATGGTTATTCACTACAGGTTGCGTTCCTAAGAATCAACATCCCCCATAGGAGGCTGGGAGGAAGGGGACACATGTCCTTACCTCTTGGCTCTATGTTCAGGGTAAGATCCAGCAGGGTAGGGAACTGCCATAGAGACCACCAGGCAAAAAAAGTGAGAAAGTTGGCAAATTATTTGCGTGAGGATGGCAAACGCCTGTTGGGTCTTAAATGCACAGCTTCTGGGCATTCCTTACTAGCCCCCAGGAGGAAGGAAGTGGAGAGAGGTTGGGAGGTTGTTAACTTCTGTTTCAGTAAGGAAAAGGAACAAAAGCAGCATGCTGAGGTTCAAGTGGCCATCCCAAAAAGGAATCACGGACAGGCAGAAAGGCTCATGCCTATAGTCCCAGCTACTTGGGAGGCTGGGGTAAGAGGAGCCCTTAAGTCGAGGAGTTTGAATTTAGTCTGGGCAACAAATTGAAAAAAATAAAACAATTTTTTTAAAAAAGGAATCAGACTGTCGGAAAATGGGTTCTCCAGGTAGCAAGTACTGGGTCTTAACTTGGTTCCAAGACTCAGCTTAGAGACAGGCAAGGCAGAAAGCAGACTTTGAAAAAACAGTAGGGCTTCTTACACTCAAAGCCCTTCACAGATAAGGGAATAAGGAAACCCCCCATCATGCCTAGATTCATTCAGTACCACTGTGACATAATCATTTCCCCTCTGGGGACTCTGAAACAGTCCAAAGAGAGGACATGAGGTGCCCAGGGTCACAGGAATACTCAACAACAAACAGCCCTGGGACTGAAACCCAGGAGCCCTCATTCCCAGCCCAGCCTCATCTTCCTTAGCATCTTCTCTTTGACAGGGCAGGTTTGATGAGATCACTTGCCCACTCTCCTCTCCATCTCCCTGTGGAGGACTGTTCCCTCTTGTCATCAAAATCCACTTATCCTAGTGACAATATCCCAGTTTTCTTCCCAATATATCAATTCCCCTCCTGACACTCCACTTTCAAGGATGAATACAGATGTATGAGGGGCAAGCCAGGCCAATCATAGTAGTGTACATTCTCTGGAGACAGTAACTGGGTCAGGGATAGACATGTGATCCATTCAGCATCTGGCCCCAGTATCTGGGTCCAGTGAGAATGTGCCCTGTTTGCTGAGAATGCTACAAATAATGACAAGAGCCTGGAGCTGCTGGGTACTCCTGTGTGGAGCCTGGATATAAAGACAACATAGTTGAAGGCAGAGGTGACTGACAGAAAGAAAGTAGGTCCTGATGATGTTGGCCTGAGCACCTGGATCAAGCCCTACCTGAAGACAGACCAATGGGCCTATTTTTTTATGAAAGAATATATTTCCTATTGCATTAAACCAATTTGAGGTAGGATTCCTACTGCTCATAAGCAAGAGATTGACCATAAACATGCCACCACTTCAATAGCATCTGACACGGTTTTCCTCCTCTCTGGGCCTGGACAGTCCCAGAGCCCTCTGAGGAAGAAAGGAAGGCAGGCCAAGGGTATCAGCCCTGATCTCACTCCCTTGCAGGACAGATTTCCCTTTGGCTCCCTCTATGCCCTCCAGAAGGCCAGCCCCCAAGTACCTTGAGCCGTTGCTGATGAGGATGCTCTCCCGGATCGTCAGGGTGCAGTAATACCACACCAGCAGGAAGTTAAAGATCTCGTCAGTCACCCTGGTGAGGAAACAGCCCCAGGAGGGGACAGGCATGAGAACCAGGGACAGGTGTCCCACCCTGACCTTACAGAGCAGCAAACCATGGTGAGGGCTGCCCATAGTGGGTGGCAGCTCTGGACACCCTCACTAGTGCTGGAAGGGGACTCTGCCTTCTCATTCAGCTTCTCTCCCCTGGAATGCCCATGCCCTCCTCTCCCTTCTACCTCAATCCTATCTGTGCTTCTAGCACCTTCCCTGACCAGCCACCTCAGGGCAACCTGATTCTCTTCAAAATTCTTTCTGTTGGATGTACAATTTCTGGTGAGATGGTAACAGAGGGGTTTTAAGGACAGGAAACTTAATGTTCTATTTCAAGTTGTCTGTCGTGAGATGTAATTCCTTCTATCCCCTTAAACTACCTGTAAACATTGTTACACATTTTTTAAAAAATCCCCATGGGCTATTACTGCGTGGAAGACTAACTTAAGGAATCTTACACTCCTGCTCCTTACGGGTGACCATAGACTATGCTCAGCTGTGCAGTCCTCAAAGGCAGACAGACCTGGGCAGCCAGAGCCCCACAGTGCCATGGTCAGCGAGGACAGCCAGCAAACAGCCCGCAGGGACTTGTCAGAGACCCACTGGCCTCTATCTTGCCATCTGCACATGGAAAGGCTGAGCTCCAATGTAAGCATTCCTGGGTGAAGGGATCCTGGGACAGAGCTGGTGACAAAAGCCCCTCCAAGAGCTCCCCTGCCACTGCCAGGATCTCTGACAAGGCATCAATGAAGGCTTTGTCTTTGACCCCAACAGGGACTCTCCACTGTAGCTCCCAGCATTGTACAGACTCCACACCACCAGGGTCAGTCTGCACAGAGAGGAGGAAAAACACCCCAACCTCCTCCATTTCCCTCTCTGAACTTGGAACACTTTTCCCCAACCTAAGGCCCTGGGCAAATGGAAAAAGGATGCAATTGTAACAACAAAAGATGCAGGAAGACCCTACTGTGTAGTCACTGAGGACAGACACTTTCAGCTCACACCCTGTTGAACCACTGCCCTCAGAGTTGGTCTTAAAAGAGTCAGGAACAGGGTGGCACCTGCGGCTCAGGGAGTAGGGCACCAGCCCCATATACCAAGGGTGGCAGGGTCAAACCCAGCCCTGGCCAAACTGCAACAAAAAAATAGCTGGGCCGCCTGTAGTCCCAGCTACTCGGGAGGCTAAGGCAAGAGAATCACGTAAGCCCAGGAGTTGGAGGTTGCTGTGAGCTGTGATGCCATAGAACTCTACCTAGGGCAATAAAGTGAGACTCTGTCTCTACAAAAAAAAAAAAAAAAGAGTCAGGAATCCCAGAGCTCTGCCTTTCCTCTGCTGTGGGGCCATGGACAAGTTGTTATTCTCCTAAGCTGACATGGCCCACTGCAAAGTGGGAGAGGAGCAGCACCTCCCATGTAGGACTGCTACCAGCATCAGCTGAGTTGGAGGCACAGAGTTCTGGGGACAGAACCTGGAGTAGAGTAGGGCTATCATGTTCCCTGCTGTGACTTTGGAAGTACCACAGTGCACCCACAGTCTGAGAAATGGGCCCCAGACATCTGACTCTGAGGACATCAGAGGACATCATGACCTGAACAGGAAGTAAGGGCAGCAGGGGTGGGCATAGGCCTCCCCAGGGCAGAGGGTCCTACTTTAGATAGCAACTGACTGCCTAGCTCCCCTCCAGGCAGGAGGCAGGCCCAGGGGTACATTATGGCTACCAGGATATTTTTCACCAGTTTCTTTGCTATACCTTATAAATGAGGAGAACAAAAAAGTTTTATGGCTCAAGCCCTTGTTCTGGACACATTTGTTCTGAACATATGCGTTCATGAATTTCCCATGACTGCTGTGACAAACCACCTCAGAGTGGCAGAACAACATACATCCGTTCTCTGATCAGAAGTCTGAGGTGGAACTTATAAGGCCAAAACCACGCTGTCAGCAGAGCTGCGTTCCCTCTGGAGGCTCTAAGGAAGAACCCATGTCTTTGCCTTTTCCAGCTTCTAGAGGCCACCTGCATTCCTAGGCCTGGTGTCACTCCCATCTCAGCCTCTGTCTTCCTTCTTTGACTCTGACCTTCCCATGTGATTATCACCCGGATATTTCAGGATAACCTTCCCATCTCAAGATGCTTAACTTTGTCATACCTAAAAAGTTCTTTTTGCCATGTTGGATAACTTATTCACAGGTTCTAGAGATCAGGATATGAACCTTTGTGGGGACCACTATTCAGTCTGCCATACGGTGTTGCAGGCATTCTGCATAAACGTTTGCTCTGGATCCTAGAAAGAACCTATGGGAACTGGTCCTTGAAGCAGGTGCACTTATAATGTTCATGTCTACATGACTTCCAATTGCTAGAACTTGCCCCTCCTGGCAGGCCCGGGACTTTCTCAGGCCCCCAGAGCCCACTGGGCTGGTACAAGAGAGAGATCAGGAGGGTGGAGTGACCCTTGGGGGACAGTCCTCAGCTCGCTTGGCTAACAGCAGTTGGTGGATAAAGACCCATTCTCTCCTGGCTCAGTGCCTGTAGCTCAAGTGGCTGGAGCGCCAGCCACATACACCAGAGCTGGCAGGTTCAAATCCAGCCTAGGTCTGCCAAAAAGCAGTGACAACTACAACCAAAAAGTAGCCAGGCTTTGTGTCAGGCACCTGTAGTCCCAGCTACTTGGGAGGCTGAGGCAGGAGAATCGCTTAAGCCCAGGAGTTGGAGGTTGCTGTGAGCTGTGATGCCACAGCACTCTACCCAGGGGACAGCTCGAGGCTGTCTCAAAAAGAAAGAAGACCCACTCTCTTGCCCCCGAGGTGAGATAACTCCGAGGCATGTGCTGCGCCATCCTCTAGATTCCCAGCAGGATTGAGCTCCAGCTGCCTGTAGGATAAGTCCTCCTTGTCTTATTTTCCCTTCGCCCACCAATGTTTCCCAGGATTACCTCCTAAATAAACCGCAGGCACTAAAGTGCTTGTCTTGGGGGTTTCTTCTAAGGGAACCCAAACGAAATACTACTTCCTGTTTTACAGGTGAGGAAACTGAGGCTCAGAGAAGTGAAGTGAATGGCTTGGGATTACACAGATGGTAAGCACTAGAGTGAGATCCAAACCCAAGCCAACCTAGCCCAACCCTAACTCTAACTACCCGTTTCCTACCTGGTTCAAACCCAATGAGGACTTGCCAGCTGTGACCTCATGGCATTCCTCAGAGGGTGACAACCCTAGTCAAACACAGCCTCTTGGGCTTCAGGCGGCAGAGCTAGGTTTCATACTCTCCAGCTGCCTCACCAAAGTCTTCCCAAGGCCAGGCAGACCTGGCAGAGTAGGTGTCCTGGAGCCCATGGGAAAGATGAAGAAGCAGACACAGAGAGGACAAGTGCTCTACTCAAGGACACACAGCCTGTGAGTGGCAGAGCTGGACCTTAGAGCCCAGGACTATGGTGGGCCATGCCCACTTACAGGTTTAGGGGTACCAAGAAGGAACTTTAGTTAGGCTCCCAGCCAGGAAACGACTCCAAGGGAGCAAAGAGAATCCTGCTCCTTGGACACATGGATATTAAGCCGTGAGCTTTTTCATGTATGTCCAGGCTTAATACAAAGTGACAGTAGCGCTAAAAACAAGCACTAACACATTGCTTACGTGCCAGGCACTAGTCTAAACACTGTGCATATATAACTGACCCAGTCCTCAATTTCCCTACCAAACACCCCCTGTAATCCTCACTTTATATGTGAAGAAACTGAGGCAGGGAGAGACTAGGTCATTTGCCCAGAGTTAAAGAGCAGGGCAAGCTTCCCTGTGGGCACTGGAACAGGGACAAACTGCCTGCCCATCCAGCCCCCTGCTCTGCCCCACATTTAACAAATGTAAGGTGTACTGGGTTGAACAGTGTCCTCCAAGTCCACATCCACTGAGACCTCAGAAAGTGGCTTTGTTTGGAAATAGGATCTTTGTGGCTCGGCGCCTATAGCTCAACCGGCTAAGGTGCCAGCCACATACACCTAAGGTGACGGGTTCAAATCCCCAGCCCGGACCCGCCAAACAACAATGATGGCTGCAACCAAAAAATAGCTGGGCGTTGTGGCGAGTGCCTGTGGTCCCAGCTACTTGGGAGGCGGAGGCAGGAGACTCGCTTAAGCCCAGGAGTTGGAGGTTGCTGTAAGCTGTAATGCCACGGCACTCTACCCAGGGGGACAGCTTGAGGCTCTGTCTCAAAAAAAAAAAAAAAAAAGAAAAAGAAATAGGATCTTTGTATAGGCAATTACTTAAGAGGAGATCATACTGGGTTAGGGATCCTCATAAGAAGGCCACAAGAGTAACCCTGGCACTCTGGGAGGCTGAGGCAGGTGAATTGCCTAAGCTCAGGAGTTTGAGACCAGCCCCAGCAAGAGTGAGATCCCTGTCTCTAAAAATAGCCAAGCATTTTGGCTGGCGCATATAGTCCCAGCTACTTGGGAGGCTGAGGCAAGAGGATCGCTTGAGCTCAAGAGTTTGAGGTTGCTTGTGAGCTGTGACCTCATGGCACTCCTCAGAGGGTGACAAAGTGAAACTCTGTCTTAAGAAGAAAAAAAAAAGCCCATGAGAGAGACACCCACACAAGGAAGAGACCACGTGACAACAAAGGCAGAGATTGGAGTGAAATGGCTTTAAGCCAAAGAGCACCAAAGACCACAGCAGCCACCAGAAGCTGGTGAGTCAAGGAGGAATCTTCCCCTGGAGTCTGGGCAAGCACTGTCCAGCCAGCACCTTACATTCAGACTTCTGGCTCCCAAGACTGTGAGAAAGTATATTTCTGTTGTTTTGGCCCCCTAGTTTGTAACACTTTGTCCCGGCAGCCCTAGGAGACTAATCTAGAGCAGGGTGGGGAGAAATGGAAATGACCAGCAGTGAGCCTGAGGGCTTGGTGACACACACAGGCTTGCCCTGTGAGGGCCCTGGAGACCTAGCATAAGGGGATCTGATTGCACATCAAGAACTTTTACCCCCTTCTGCTGGGCACGTGAGAAGGCGTTATTGGTGCATGCAGCCTTTGCCCTCGTGGAGAGGAGCTGGGCCCCCAGGCAGCAGGTGGGCACAGGCCCAGGGCCTAAAAAGGCCTTTGTTTGGACATTCAAGTGGCCAGACCAGCAGCTAGACGTCCAGCCAAGTGCCCGCCAGGAAATCAACCCTCAGCATGTGGGCCAAATGCCCAAGCTGTACTTGGCTGCCTCCCTCGGGGCAGAAAATGCAAGGCCAGAGAGAGGGACAAGACCTCCAGGCAAGGCACCCTCAGCTTCTCAGAGCCATACGGCCTTGTCATACTCAGATGGATGGCAGCAACTAGGGCTAAGCAAGTCCCCATTGGTGCTGAATCACTGAATCATCACAATCTTGTGAGGCAGAGACTGCTGGCCCCCTTGTTTTACAGATGTGGAGACAGAGGCCCAGAAGGAACTCACTCATGCTAACAGCCAGCTATTCTCAGCTAGGATCTAAGTCTAGCCTGGTTCTTTTCCTTCTTTCTTTCTTCCTTTTTTTTTTGGTACATATAATTGATACATAATTCACATAGCATAAGATTTTCCTTTTAAAGTATCCAATGTAATAATTTTCAGTATATCCACCGAGTTGTGTAATGATCCCCATTACCTAATTCTGGAACATTTCATCACTCCAAAAAGAAATCGTATACCCCAAAGCAGTAACTCCCCCTGGTTCCCACCCCTAGCTCTCTGTCTCTATGGATTTGCCTATTCTGGACATTGCACATCAACACAATCAGACAATGCAGCCTTTTGAGACTAGCTTCTTTCACTTGGAGTAATGTTTCCAAGGTTCATCCATGTCGTAGTGTATATCAGTCCTTCATTTCTTTTTGTGGATGAATAATATTCCCTTGTATGAATGCCACATTCAGCTCTTTCTTCACTATGACAGTACAAGGTCTTCCCTGTAGCTGTTTAATAGACACATGTTGGGTGGATGCAGGGTGGACAGGACTGCCACCTCCCATGAGAAGTGGTCCTTCTCTACCCTAAACCTTTTCATACCAACCACTGAAGAAACAGGAGAGACCCTGGATCCCTCTGGACCCCTCTCCCCTGGCCCACTCTTCACACCCTGCACACATCTCCATACCCCATTACCTGTAGTGGAGCACAAATCGACATGCCACAGCACCCAGGAGCAGGATGATGGTCAGGTAAAGCTTGAACTTCTCATACTCGTCCTTGTAGGCAAACCTGCCATGACAGACAATCCCAGGAAAGGTCACGCAGTCGTTACTATTCTACTGTCTGAGGGTGGGACCATTAACTCTATTAGCTCCTCAACCTACTGCCACTCCCTTGTGCCACGAGGACCTTTTCAGCCCATTAAAGGAGAGACCTGGCCTTGAATTAATGGTAGTGATCAATTAGGGGAAGAAGCACCCCATGTCCATGGACTCCCAGTTTAGGACGCTGGGCCTGTGGTAGGAATGCGCAGGGCACAAAGACAGGGTCACCTCCCTTGACCAATAGCTGTGGCAGAAATGGCAGGGTTCAGGGTTCAATTTTTGCCTAGAAATGGGTTAGATTCAGGTGGACAGAAGTGCCCATTTCCCACAAGAGAGCCCTTTCTGGTGGGAAATGGGGAGTCTTGTCCATCCAACTTATTGACTCTGTGAAAGGAAGGAAACCTCCCCCAATTGGTCTAACCACTGAGAGTGAAAGTGTCAAAAACACCAAAAGCCAGAACTGTTAATGCATTTTGTTTTGTTTTATTGCAAAAATTCTAGCTTGGACTCATCTTTCCTAAGTTGAAAGAACAAACTGCCTGGATTCCTTTGAGCCAGGTGGGGATCTGGGCATACATACTTGGCCTGGTTGCTGAGGAGGGTCACGTTCACATTGCCGAGCACCAGATTCAGGTACAGCCTGAAAGGAAACACCTGTGAGGCCTTCAATCCCTACAGGTGGGCCCCAACCAAAAATATTACCAAGCCTGTGCTGAGCACCCAAAGTTAGAAGATAGGATGCTAAGCTCAGTTGTCCCACACCAAGGGAGAATTAACAATTAATCAGAAAACTGCACGACTGTGACACATGAAGCTAGTTTAGACTGTATTTCCCACCCTCCCTTGCAGGCAGATGTGAGCATGTGACTAAACTATAACCAATGAGGTAAAGGCACAAGTATGATCTCTAGGTCAATTTTAAAAGAATGCTCTTTAAAAGTAAGGCATAGGGCGGCACCTCTGGCTCACTGGGTAAGGCACTAGCCCCATATACCGAGGGTGGTGGATTCAAACCCGCCCTGGCCAAACTGCAACAAAAAAAATAGCCAGGTGTTGTGGCAGGCGCCTGTGGTCCCAGCTACTCAGGAGGCTGCAGCAAGAGAATCACATAAGCCCAGGAGTTGGAGATTGCTGTGAGCTGTGATGCCACCGCACTCTACCAAGGGCAATAAAGTGAGACTCTGTCTCTAAAAAAAAAATAAAAGTAAGACATAGGCCTTTTTCCTTGTTGTGACAATGGGGACCTGTTCACTGTTAACCAACATATCTTTGCTCTGTAAACCTAGACCTTGCTCTTGCTCTGTAAATCTATCTTTTGTTTCCTAAATAAACTTTGTTTCACGCATTTAAAAAAGGGCATAACCCTCATAAATAGATACATCTTAAACGTACAACACAATGACTTTTTACATATTTACACATGTAACCAACACCCAGACCAAGGAACAAAACACTTCTACCCCCTCATGCCTACCCCGAAACAGAGGTGGTGACTATTTTGTTTCCTGTCATCATGGATTCATTTTGTCTGTTTTTGAACTTCGCATAAATTTCCACAGTGTGTCATTTTTTCCTTCTTTTTTTCGAGACAGAGCCTCAAGCTGTCACCCTGGGTAGAGTGCGGTGGCATCACAGCTCACAGTAACCTCCAACTCCTGGGCTCAAGCGATTCTCCTGTCTCCACCTCCCAAGTGGCTGGGACTACAGGCGCCTGCCACAACACCCGGCTATTTTTTGGTTGCAGCCATCATTGTTGTTTGGTGGGCCTGGGCTGGATTGGAACCTGCCAGCTCGGGTGTATGTGGCTGGCGCCTTAGCAGCTTGAGCCACAGGTGCCAAGCCTCTTTTTTTCTTTTTTTGAGACAGTCTCACTTTGTCACCCTCGGTAGAATGCTGGAGCATCACAACTCACAGCAACCTCAAACTCTTGGGCTCAAGTGTCAGCATCTTGAGTTGCTGAGACTATAGTTTTTCTATTTTTAGTAGAGAGGAGGGTCTCACTCTCACTCAGGCCAGTCTCAAACTCCTGAGCTCAAGCAATCCACCCACCTTGGCCTCCCAGAGTGCTAGGACTACAAGTGTGAGGTACCACACCTGGCTAGACAGTGTTTTATTTATTTATTTACTTATTTATTTATTTTGGCAGTTTTTGGCCAGGGCAGGGTTTGAACCTGCCACCTCTGGTATATGGGGCCAGCACCCTACTCCTTTGAGCCACATGCACTGCCCAACAGTGTTTTTTTTTTTTTTTTATTTCTGACTTCTTTCCCTCAATATTATGCCCATGAGTCATTCATGTTAGATGTGAATTGGCACGTTCTTCTTTTTCATGGTGTAAAATATTATACTAAATTGATGCTACCACAAACTTAGTTACCTTCTACTGTTGATGAACATTTTGTTTTCAGTTTTTAGTCATTTTTTGGTCTGTGGTTAGAGTACCAAACATCTATTCTTTTAACAAGTTTCCCATGTATTTTAATACAATATTATTAATGCTAGTCCTTCTGCTTTATGTTAGATCTCTAGACTTATTCATCCTACATAACTACTACCTTTTACCTCGATCTTCCCATTGTTCCACACCCCACCCTCTGTAAACACTGTTCTACTCTTTGTTCCTTTTTTTTTTTGAGACAGAGCCTCAAGCTATCCCCCTGGGTAGAGTGCTGTGGCATCA